GCGTTGTGTGAAAGAGGAATAGCATTTTCTCCCTTTCCCCAGGAGGCAGGAAGGCTGCCTCAACAGCCTGGCTGTTGGGGAAAGCAATAAGCTCAAGATGCCAACTGGCTTTGAAAAATAATTTCTATTTTTCTTTAATGCTGCATCTCCCTCCCAAGCGTTTCCAGTGTTAGATGGCTGGAGCGGCAGTATTTAATAGCTACATCTTTGTATATTTCACTCTCTGGCATTAGTTTGACGAGTCATTTTAAAGTCAAAATATCCTTCAAATGCCCACCCAAAGTCTGTCAGTCTCTTAATACTACACATTCTCTCCAGAGGGTTTTGCACTGCAGTTGTCTCCGTGGCTCAGCATGAATCGCTGCACAACAAAATACAATTGAAGTTTGCCAATTAATCGTGATCACATAAAGAATGAATAACAAATGATTTCTAAACACATATGTAGCCAATGCCATTTTACCAAATGCTCAGAGGGTCCTTTGACTTCACTCAGTTGAAGATGATTTTATTCCCTCATGTCAATATTTATAACAAGAAAATGTTAGAGATCATCTTACAGCTTGATAGTTCTGAGAATAAGACTTAGGAGTGAAGTCGATCACTGTGTCATACAGGAACTACTCAAGTGCCTCATTTCCAAGATCAACTGATACAAGTTCAGACTCTTTTTTCCTTGTAAATGTCAATAAACAAGCACCAATGAGCAAACTGGCACCCTGATCTTGCTTTATTTCTGGGTATACCTTTGCCTTCTCCGGACAAACTCACAGTGGCTCAAGTGTCGCATTTTGTCAAAATTTTGCCTTAAAGCCATTTAATATTCAGTTAAAACTAAAATACATACACAAGAGGAATTAACCAGATAATTAATTCCAGGTCATTATTGATCAAATAAAATAATTCCAGACCAAAAATCTGCCAACTATTTCTGAAAAGGTCTTTCTTGTAGTTTATCAAGAGGTCTCTTTCTCTTTTTTCTTGCTGCTTTGCATTCATGTGCTTCATGAATGTCTCTCCATTCCCCTCATGTCTTTCCTTCACAACAGTCCCTGTGCAGAGAATGCCCATGTTGTCTTCTAGCATCACGTCAATTCACTGTCTTTTGACTTCTTTTTTAGGGTTTCACCTTTTTCACTCACCAGTCTGTCACTGATTTTCTTCTAAATAATTGCTAAAAAGTCCAAACACTTTGCTCTGTTTACAGCAAAAAGCTCAGGAGGATCTAACAACACATCCATAGAATTCAGCTCATCACAAACCCATTCCTGTTGCCAGCTTCTGCTGCTTCCTTCCATTCCCTGGAAGAAGAAGAGAGAGCAGTTCAGCCATTGACCTGAATGTTAAGCACTAGCAAACTAAACCAGGAGTGCGGCCATGAGTATACACATCTCTGATGGTAATTGCTCCCAGGGATGCATGTGACAGCACTGCCAGGCAGCCAGACTGGCCTGTCTAACCTGTTCTCACCATGAGCATCATCTCAGGGAGAGTGACTTGGGCAGTGTCTTCCATGGTGAACCACATCACCTCGTGAGCTTGAACCCCCTGGCAGAATACAGGGAGACAGTGTTCCAGATGAGGTGAGAAAGACCATTTTGGCTACATGGATTGCAAAAGAGACCATGCTCTGCCTCTGCAAATTTGCAGTGTGTTGAGTTGTCACTTTGTTGACTGTTGTGACCTTGATATTCCATCCTGAGTGTCTGTACGCTGCCTTACTGGCACGCTAACCCTGGCTGGGTGCTCTGCAAGCAGTTCTCCTCATAACCACAGCAACAACAGTGATATAGTAACATAAATAGGCTCTTGTGAGTGCACATTTTTACTTTGATTTAATAATAGCAGTGTCTGACAGCAGAAACAACTGATTTCAGAGTAAAAACGGCAGAAGAAGTTAACCAATGGAGACCTGTTCATATGTGTGCTTCCATCACTCCAGAAGAGCCGTGCTGGAGCCTGAACGTGTAGGCAGCAACACTGGGTCTCTGAAGAGAAAATCTTTGTATTGTGACTTAAAGATCTTTTACAACCTAAATGATTCTGTGATTCTGTGACTCCTTCCTACTGATCCTGACCTGTGATGTGTAACTATGAGGGAGAAAGTCAGTTTGCCTGCTCTCCTGATCAGGAACAGCTGTAATTCTCACACCAACCTAATCCACTAAATGTCTCTGCCCTGAAACTCAGCAGAGTAACTTAGGCAATCAGACCCCAGTGTGATAAAGCTGAAAAAGCAAACAAACAAACAAAAAAACAAACACCAAAAAACTGAAATGGAACCAGAATCCCACTTAGAAAGAAAGAAGAAGATGCTCTCCAGTGGTCTATATGCCAATTTTCAGAGTTTGGGTAACATGCAAGATGAACTGGATATTTTCATTGATGAGATGAAACAAGATCAAACTGATGTAATTACTGGAAAAGGTAAAATGGAATCTTATAATATTTTGCCCCAATCCTTTTAAACAAATAAAGAAATTTGAAGATTGAGAAGGTAACAGTACACTGTTTTAGAGATGCAGGCAGTAACTTGTTCCAATTAATGCTATTGAGGAGGGGTGGAATGGAGCAGGGATGGCTGCAGAGAATCAGGCTGCTTATCCCTCCAATGTACAAAAAGTGTTTGGAACTGTGTGAGGAAAATGCCCCAAATAGCCAGCAGCCATGTCTCATCAGATTTTCTAAAACTTATTTTCCATGACAGAAGTTATTCCAGTCTATATGGAAGAAGTATTTTTGAACTCAAAATGTTTAAACTACTTAATCATGGAACAAAAAAGTGGTGGTTGCTTAGGAGTCAGCTATCGTAATTTGATTATAACAAGGACAGTTGGTATAAGAAGGAAAAAGGACAGTCCCAGTCAGGGACTGACTCACACACAGAGATGCTTCAGAAAGATTATCCCCATCATGAAGGGAGAAATGATGAGAAAATTACGATTCAAAAATAGAGATAGAAATGTAAATGAGAGTACATATGATCTTACTCCATAAAGTCATGATTGCTTAATTAACAAAATGGCCAAATTTGGCTGAAGGACAATTTTGTCTCAGCAGTAGGGTGAAGGAAACACTCAGAAGCTAAAAACATAGTATAGAACAACATGGAAAGGCGAAAATATCGGGAAAAAATGTTCTGTTCATACAAAAAAATGAAGACTACAGAAATGTGATTACAGACAGTAAAATGGGGAGTGCAGCAGTGCCAAGGTGTATGTCTAAATAGAGATGCTAAAACAGCATAAAAGTGGCAGAAATGTTAAAACCTTATATTTCCTTCTTAAAAAGAGGCACTTTTCTTATCTAGTAAGAAAAAAAAGGAAAGAAGCACTTTTCAGTCCATTAGTCAGTAATGAAAATAGAAAGCAATTTCTACTAGAGCTAACATTTTAAAATTAGGATATCTAGAGAACTTTTATATGACAGTCTTTGAATAACTGGCTAAAGAAATTCCATAAATGTTAATTCTTAATAATCATAGAAAGGCTTGGTTTGGAAGGGACCTTAAAGATCACCTAGTTCCAACCCCTCTCTCCCATGGGCAGGGACACCTTCCACTAGATCAGGAATATAAAGGAAATTGCAGAGGATCATGCCAATATGCAAAAAATACAAGAAAGGTGACCAGGGTGCCCAGGCCATGAGGCTGCTCTGCTCGTGACAAGCATGGAAAAGGTGACAGAAAATTAATCAAGGAAGGACGATGGAATAACAATGTCTTCAAAGCTGAGCAGAATGTGCTCTTCTAGAAAACAGGCCCAGGCAGACAAACCCAATTTCCTCCTTCAATGGCATTACACGTTTGGCGTGTAAATGCAATCACATAATTGTCATTTACTCAGATGTTTGCACAGGGGCTGATTTAGTACTTCCTGGCACTGATTAAAAATTAGCATAAATCGAGCACTGGGAAAGCTCGTGTGAAGCAGGATTGGCAGTGGCCAAAGGGGTGGTGGGAGGAAGTGTTAGCAGGGTCAGGTGCCCAGCCCCACCTCTCAGGGGCTCTCCTGGGCACACACCCTGCTCCACTCCAGGTTTGGGGGCACGAGGGTTAGTGACCAGAGACCAAGATGACACTTGTGCTGAAAGACTGAGATCGTGGAGGTGGATTTGCCAAAGCACATATACATAAGCAGCTGAATATCCATCCTTGAAAAAAAGCAGGCAGGGGGAAGCAAAAGTTATGAGGCTAAGGACTGGCGAGGAGCACAGGAGACAGGCACCCTAACTTGGGAGTACAGAAGCAATTTCTCTATGTGGATTGGAGACACAATGAATGACAGGGAAACATTTGTGGCTCCCAAACTCTTCCTTTCATCACCTTCATTTGTGGCTCCCAAACTCTTCCTTTCATCACCTTTCAGAAAAACTAGATTTTGACAATAGTTGTCCCAATTCACAGCCTGGTCAAGGCTGTGAGTGAAGACACCTGGCTTTCAGCTCTTTGTGTAAACTCATACCTTTTCCCAAGAGTAAAACCAACTTGTTTTTGTTATATTAACCCAGACAGACATTCTCACAGAGCATGTAGACATCATCTCACACCAACCTTCACTGGCAAAAGGAAAGAATAAGATTGTATGTAGTGGCAAAAGGAGAGAATAAGGTTGTATGTAGATTTGTCATCAGCGTCTAATGAGAATATCTACTAATTTCACGACTAGATTTAAGCAAAGGTGCTTAAAACAGGAAAAAGGAGAGGAAGGCACAATGAAAACGTTCCTGACGATATTTGCAGATGCCTGTTAACACAGGAGGGCGTAACCCTCTTATGGGGTGATAGTTTGGGTTGTCCTGTGCGGAGGCAGGAGTTGGACTCGACGATCCTTGTGGGTCTCTTCCAACTCAGGATATTCTATGATTCTATGACGACGGGGCTCGGCACCTGACAAGCCGTCACTCATTGCGGGGAAGGAGAAGGCGGGTCCGCCCGTGCAGGCGGGACCGGGGCGGGGACGATCCCGCCTCTCCCCGCTCGTCACCCGCCCGCGCCGCGATCCGGCACCACCGACCGCCCCCTCGGCATCACCGACCGCCCCTCGGCATCACCGACCGCCCCCTCGGCATCACCGACCGCCCCTCGGCACCACCGACCGCCCCTCGGCATCACCGACCGCCCCTCGGCATCATCGCTCCGCGCCGGCCGCGGGTCCGCCCGGGCGCTGCCGGGTGAGCGGGGCCGGGGCCGGGAAAGGGGGAAACGGGCCCCGGGTGGTGCGGGGCTGTGTCCCCGGGAGCTGCCCTGCCGGAGGGAAGCGGGGCTGGCCCGGGCTGGAGGATGCGCCGCGCCTGCCTCCGGTGACCTCCGTGCCCCGGGGCGGCCTTCTCTTCCCGGTGTGCTCGTGGTTAAAATCAGGAGTCACTCTGGAAACGGAAAGTTTTCCTCCTGTAGTCCGAGTGAGAAGGAAGCTGTGTGAGACAAGCTGGTGGATTGGGAAATAAAAACAAACAGCTTAGGGCGGGAAAGCTTGCTTTGAGTGGGAGTAAGGAGCGGGGAGGAGGTGGAGCGGCAGAGCTGGAGGCTGGTTATGGTTTTGGTTTTGGTTTAGGTGTGTTAATTACCAGTGGGCGATCCTGAAAATGTCCTCGCTGGAAGTGGCAGTAACAAAACTGTTCTGTCACATCTCACAGAATCAGAGATCGCCCTAAACCAGGCTTTGGATGGCTCTGGCTCTTGGGAGTTTGTAGTCTTTACCTTTCTTCTCTCTCAAACATTCTTAGTTTGGTGAGGATTAATGGAGGTCTCTAGCGTTGGCTTGGGCTGTTTAGATTCCTTTAGCGATTCTAAAGTGAAAATCAGGTTCATCAGACCACAGGTTTGCATCGTTTAGGAGCTAAAGGTGCTTTCATTTTAAAGCTGCAGTAAAAAGAGATTAAGCATGCTTTGTTGTTTGACTTGAGTCTAGTGATACTTTCAGAGTGATGTGATGAAGATTTTGGGGGTAAGTTTGTTGCTTTGTCTCTGAATGTAGGAATTAGGGCTGGCTGTTCTGAAATGGATGGCTTAGCATGACTTCGTGATCATTGCCCCATGTAATAGATGCTCAGGTGGAGGTGCTGCCCTGCAGTCACTGAAGAGCTTCTGCCTTCTCTCGCTAGGCCTGCTGCCTTGGCTTGAGGTCTCTGATACTTAGCCTTCCTTTTTGTTAATTTTTCCATTTCTCTCTCAGACTCAGATTACTTGTAATTACATGCTTCATTTTATTCCTACTTCCTTTTATAGAGCTCTACTAACAGGAGTAAATCAAAGCAGACAGTTGTACATCAGGTCCTGCAGTGGGCAAATGTGTGTAAGTGAGGTTATGAATACTTCTAATTTGCACTATTAAACAACAGGCTCCATGTAATCATGCTGAAATGGACTTAGCACTGTCCTCCTGATTACTCTTATCCATGCTCTTTAATTTTTTATGCTCATCTGGAATCAGCTGTGCAATACTTAAAACAAGAATTTCAAACTTTAACCTCAATGTAGTGCACTTAAACCTCACTCTATGAGTCTGGAGACTTATGTCATCACTTATTCAAAAAGGCACAGTACAGGCCACATACAGCTTAAAATACAGAATTATGGGATTCCTATTCTTGTCTGTTACAACCCATTTTGCAAAGGAAGAGTAAAGATGTAAAGAAGTGGAAAAGTGGGGAGGATTAGAAAAGCTGAAAGAAAACCCTTCTTCATGCTCCTTTAAGAGCATGGATGTTGTCTCTGGTGGCCTGATAACAATGGTTTTGTCTTCAAGGCATTTTTGTTGCAGAGGTCTTTAGGTGGGAGATGGCTAAAAGAGAATGGGAAGCTGCTGATGGATTTTCTTGAAAAAAAGAATCGAGCACAGGGAAGTTTTTTTCCTCTCAAAAGAATGGCTATTGTGAGAGACTGACAAGAAAATGAAGAAAAAGGTGACAGATGATTAAGGGAAGAGAATTGAGATGGGAAGGATCTGTGTGATTCATATAGAGAAACATAATTTATTTATTTATTTTTACAGTTGGTTAGCCATTCTTGTTAGACAGATTATAACAGTGTTTTAAGTTGGGTGAGAAATTTTCATGAGCAAAACTTCCAGGTTGCTTCCTCAATATGTTCAAATGATGTCTTACCTGGTGCTTGTGTAGAAGTCAGCAGTGTTGCAGCAGGTGCTGTTTTTGGCAGAGCTCACACTGTAATTGTTCCTGTGATGGGAGTTTAAAGGTAGTCTTGAGCAAGCCGAGTGGCATCTGCTAATAAATTAGCCATGGTAAATTGTGCTTCAGTGAAGGTACTTTTAAAGCCAGTATTGGTCTCTATAGACAGCAATAGTGTAGTGTCCTAGTTAGACTGGTAATTGTACCTGAATTGGTGTTGATGTTCTGTGTGTGCAAAACCATGTACTAAGGATTAGACTGATTTCATGCAAGGAAGGTGAGACTTCAAACATGTGATCAGTGTACGATGCCTTGTTTCATTTGCCTTAATTCTGGGATAGCCTGTGATGCTCAACCATCTTAGAGTTGTGGCTGTCTTGTGTTTCCTCTTGCAGGAAAGTCCATCTGTCTGTCTATGTGTGCCCACTCTTCCTTGAGCCATGTCCAATGTTTCCAGTTACGCCCTCCGAATGGCCCGGCTGAGTGCTCAGATATTCGGAGATGTTTTCAGGCCGACTGACTCCAAATCTATGAAGGTGGTGAAGTTGTTCAGTGAGCAGCCCTTGGCCAAGCGGAAGGAGGTGCACAGCTGGTACCCTCCTCACAACACCTACTACGCCCTCATGAAGAAACTCCGCTACTTTGGTCTTTACAGGTACTCTGGGCGTATAGGGTTGGGAGCAGGACTGGAGATGGGAAAGGAGTGGGTGTCAGTCCGCTTATAGTCGTTTTCCTGAAGGGAAAGAGAAAAAGTTTTAGTTCTGAATATGGTGCATATGGAAATGCACACTTGATTGTTGCACTGAGGGCAAGGAGCATAAAATAAGTGACTGCTGTTTAACTTTTGCCATAATTGGAACCTTTTGTGAAAAAGACTTTAGGTATAGTTTTGGGCAAGCAGTTACATAAGAAACAGTTCCTGCTTTGGCTTTGTGGGGAAGGGAAGAGAGCTTTCTCATAGACAGGAGATGGGGCTGTAGTTCTGAATGTGCTACAAAGAGGTGATGTTAACACCAAAATTGCCCTGAGTCAGTCTTATGATATATTCCTCAGTCATTCAACAGCTAATAAGTGAAATGTAGAAGAGAAGGAAAGTCTATATTAGGCCAGAGGGCCTTTTCATCCTTTAAAATAAATGAGGTTAAATTAAATTCAAATGTCGTTTAGATAGCCTTGTTAATTCCAGCTTCATCCAAACCAGTTGTCTAATTTCCACATGAATTTCCACAGTCTCTAGCAGAAAAAAATTGCACTACTAAAGAACATCAGCAGGAGTCAAATGCATTTCTTTCACTTCAATCAGGTAGCACTAAAGAAATCCTTTAAAAAAGGGAGGCTGCCAACTAGATTAATTTCTAGTATTAGTATCACAATACTAGCCATCAAGGATTGTGTCCAGGATGCTCTTAGTTTAGGTGGGTGTGCAAACATTTTCTAGAGTAGATGTTTCCTTACACAGAAAGCCCTAATGACATGTCCATGTTCCTTACTCTTCCCCTATTAATCTCAAGTTCCTTCTCTAGCTGCTCTGTATACAGAGAGTTTGTGGAGGGTCAGGTTTGCAGCTCAGAAATATGTAATGAAGAGTCACAGACTAACAGGGCCTGATAATAAATCACAAGCTTTTTGGTACTATTTAGAGAAGTTGTGTAGAAAAATAGCAGTGCAGCAACCTTAGGCCACGTAGGATGCAGTTATGACTTTTGAAAATTGCTTTGCACCGAAAAATAGAGGGACAGAGATTAATAAAATTTATTAGATCGTTATTGAGGATTAATTATCTCTGCCAGCCCCTTCATCCTCCTTCCTGTTTTATTCTCCTGTTAAGATTCTACCACTACTCATGCTTTCTTCATAACTCATTCTTGAAGTCTCCTGAGAGCAGTGTCATGGGCTGTAATTACTGCTAAGCATGCCCCTGTTTCCTCAGAAGCTAATGACCTGAACTTAGTATCTAGCACAGGAACACAATGTGCTATTGCTAGACTGCTGGGCCAGATGAGAAGGGGGGAATCTCATTCTTGTCTCTTGCTGATTTTTACATTTTACTGCTCATTTAAGCACAGTGGATCAATAAATGCAATTGAAATAATACAAATATGCACAGACCATTTTTTGCTGAAAAGGGCAACCTTGTTAGTTCTGAAAGTACCAGAGGAAATCTCTCGTTATTATTCAGTGATACTGTAGCAGTAATAAGGAATACATTGCAGTGAGTTTCAGTATGGACTTCATGGTTAAAAAAAAGGTTTTTTTCATTATCACATACTTCAAAGAACCTTTCACATCTCAGTATTCCAAGAAACAGAGTAAACTTTTTTACTTTCCTCCTAATCTAGGGATGAGCATCAAGACTTTAAGGAGGAGATGAGGCGATTGAAAAAGCTCCGTGGGAAGGAAAAACCAAAGAAGGGGGAAGGAAAGAGAGCTCTCAAGAAGAAATAGTTCTATTTGAACAGTATCATTAACTACTCTGGCAATGCTGGAGAACAGCTGGAGAGGGTTTGGCATGTGAGCTGTGTGTGGGGCACAAGAAACACACTGTGAAATAGTGGACTCCACCCTGGAAATGCAGTTGGGTCTTTGAAGTTTTATTTGGTTTGAATTTCTGTGCTTTAAATACAGTGTATATTGTAGCACATTATTTTGTCAGAGCCTTCTCTTACCCAAGTAATAAAAACAGGAATAAAAAAAACGTGCTCAGTGTTTTTCTTGACACCACCTGTAGCTGTTTCAGTTTTTCTTGATCTGGAAATCTGTTTGCTTCTCATTGTCTGTTTTACTTTCTTGTATTAGTATCAACACTGTGGCCGCAAAAAAATAAGTATTCCTGCTTCTACTGCTCCTTGTCAAACTTGCCTGTTTTAATGAGTTTCACTTCAGGTAGCTTTAGCTAATTTTTTTTTTTTAAGTTGCTGTTAGAGTTTGTTATTCTGCATTTTTCACTGGGCAATACTTCCCACTCCGTTGCCTGCCCACAGCATTTACATTGTTTCCTGAATGATTAGCTACTGCAACAGAAGAGGCTGAAATATTAATTAATAATTAAATAACTAAATCCATAAATAATGGAATTATTACATGCAATAATGAAATTTAAAATAATTTTATTACAGGAAACTTACTCTGATTGCCTGGAAGACATGCATTAAATACTACCTAAGATGATGAACGCTTTCATTAGCATTCACTATGGGTTTTATCACTAGGCTTCTGCAGTGTTGCTAATATTAATGATTGTATACATCTACGATTCTTACCTGTCAGTCCCTGTCAGGGAATAGAAAGTACAGAATGCAGCTGTGCTGCTCTGCCTGGCCATGTGTGCATCTTGCCTGTGTGTGCCCTGAAAGAGCATCTTTTAATTTTTCAGACAACAAGTGTAGAGGAACATCCTAGAGGCAGTAAAGGAGAGCTATGGAAGATGTGGAGTGACTGAAGCAGAAAGTTTGAGCACAGTTAGCTTGGGATATGCCTGGTTTTGTGTACAGAGGCATTCTGAAGTAGGGCTCAGTACTAAACCTACTGACATTTCTAAACCAAATTGTTTAATTTGTTTAGTTGTTCAAATTTAAGTGTATTTGAAGGTATCTGAGCGTTGAAATTGGTGGATCTACATAAATTTGTAACAGCTCAACAGCTCAACTTCACCAAGGTTATTAATGGAAGTGCTGATTCTGTTAAAGGTGTTTCTGATCAGCTGTGTAGTTCTTGTTCCATATCCTTACTGAGTGTTACCTGCTTTTCTAGGCTCTAAGACCTGCTGATTTTAGGAAATCTGAAGTGTTGTGGAAGAAGCACCTGAGTTCTTACCAGTCAACAAAATGCTATAGAAGTTAATACAAAATATGTATCTGCTCTGTACTGTAGTGGTGAATTTCTCTCTTATTCTAATTTAAAATCCTTTTGGTAACTTGGAACTTTTGCTCAACTCTAATGGGCTTGTGGCATTTCAGTATTACATGTTGTCTGTGGGTTGTGACCTGTCTGGTAGTGAAGTATCCAGAGCCTGTGCTGGGCCCTCTGTGAAGTCCTTGGTTCCTGGGACATGTGCATGGAGCTCAGGGGAAGCTGTCTGGTTCCCTTGAATTTCCCTTCAGAAAGAAGAGCAGCATGGAGTCACTTACTAGGTAGGAAAGGGAATTACCCAAGTAGAAGGGTTGCTGCTGCCTGACACTCTTTCTCACTATAGGTGTGAGGGGTGAAGTTGCTTATTTGCCTGTTTTGGTGGAGAGAAAGACCAGTTCTGAACCTCTTCAGCAGACCTACTGCAGCAGCTCTGCACAGCTCTTGATGTCCTTTAAAATTAACTCCCAGATCAATAGAAATGTTTTCCCTGCTGTTCAACTCTGATGAAAAATCAACAGCATCTCTTCTGTTCCTGTGAAACACTCGAAGCTCTCATGCTACAAACATGCAAGAGACCGAAAGCAGTGCATGCATCAAAAAGGGAATTATGGTTCTACTCTGGTAAAGGAAGTATACATGGTCTTAAACTTTGTGTATGGAGGGAGACCTGGTTATGAGTATACATATAACAACATATAAAACACTTAGTGTGATTGGCCATGGCTGTGCTTTGGACTCCGCATTTAGCCTACTAAAGGACTGAGCATCTACTGAGAGCAGCCAGTGTTACTGGTATTATGTACCTTAGTGTGTCATCTTGCTGGACACAGATATGGACTCAGCAGTGTAGTATTAGATAATTAGGCTTGGGAGGTGGATCTGTTCTTCCTTGCTTACTCCAAGCCACCCAGCTATTACGGATATCACGAACAGGACAGTGAACGGCTTGCTTGGCTACTCAGCTATAATGATCCCACTTTCTCTGCAACCTGCCAGAGCAAACCTGCTCTAGAGTCAAAGCATTGCTCTGGGAACATACTTTGGGAAGTTATTTACCACAGCATATCCAAAAAGGGAGAGAAAGTGCCTGTGAAGTAAGCAGATGTGAAACAAATGGACTGGATTGTTGATTTTCATCTTTTCTCTGCAGCTTTACAAAAGCAAAGTGGATGGAGTAAAAGAAAAACTTTCTGGAAGAGTAGTATAAGTACCAGAGAGGTTCCCCTGCCTAATTTTTCATATCTTTTTTCTGTAGTACTCATCTGCTAGAACTTGGTCTTCTCAAAAATAGCTGTTTTCCCTTGCCTGAGACTTCACCATAAAATAACAATGACTCAGCCATTATTGGAGTATATCCTAGTATTGGGATAATCCATTGCTTGCTGGGAGCATTAGCATAACTATTTTGTTCCAGAAAATACAGCCTTCTCCTCTCCATAGCTGGGATAGAAATAGGCACTTTCCTACCTCCTTTCTAATCTGTGCTCTGTCATTTAGGAATAGACATTGCTTGACAAAGACTACTTTTTGTGCATCAAAATCAGAGTCTAGACAAATTAGGAGTCAGTCCTGACACATCACACCAGGGATTAACCAGATATTAACACAGTATGTATATTTAGGAGAGAAAGTAGAGTTCCAGCCGTGTTCTGAAGGGCAAGGATAGTAACACTTACGCTTTGTACAGCTATTGGTATAGTAACATATCCATTTTCTGTACAAATACCCAAGTTCAATTAATGTTTATTTTTGGCTTTCCCCTTACAGTGATTCTTTTCACCATTCAAACTGCTGTGTCTTGTTACAAATTTCACTCTTTTCCCGAGGGTATGAGCTGACTGTCTTCAGCAGTTGTTTAGATGGATGTTTTAATTCTTGATCGGAATAAACCTGGTTAGCTGACCTCTAAAGTACAGAGAGTAAAAACCTCAGCCTCCTCCCAGTCCTGAGCACTTTTATTAAGTGCCACTGCTTCCTTATTTTGCAGTGCTTTAACTGTGTCTATCTTTAATTAGACTCTGGTATGATATATTCATAGCTGCTGAGCGCTGCCGTGATGATCACAAGCTGTTTTGTAAACAGGCTGACCCAGTTGCTGTATATATCCTACAGGGAATGCAGCTATTGCCAGAACCTCTTCCTATTGAAAGTCCTGCAGACAGGCAGAAGTTCACTTGCATGTTGCCACACTTCATAATACTGGAAGGTAAAAAACCCGCAGTCTTGCTTTCTGTCAAAGGTACCAGTGTATTCAAATATATGTCCTCTGCTCAGAAAAGTAATAACTTGAAAAAAGTTTCCCCTAATGTGGAAAGAGTTTAATCTACTTATTAAAACAACATGCTGAGTTTACACAGGTCAGTGAAATGCACCTGAGTTACTCTATGGTTTTAGACAAATGCTTTTTCTTACGTACCTTTGTTTCCCTTGGAGTAAAATTAGAATAATGATCACTTACTGAATAGCGTCATGAATTTAAGCTGCTTCCAGGGTGGGAATTTACCCCAGGAGAACCTTGTGTAAAGAGCAGCTTAGTCTGGCTGTGGTAGGACTTGTAGCTCTGTATTTCAGAGCTTTATTTCAGAGAGATGATTGTATGCAACAGTTGATGAAATTTTTAATACATAAGATAAGCTGTGGTATGTTAATGTTTTTACTGTTCTGCTTTACATGTTAGAGACTTCAAATGCTGAAAAAAAATATGATTTGGTCAGATTGTAAAAATTAAAAAAAAGTGACAGATATTTCTTAAACTGTAAGTATTTTTGAAATTTTAAAGTGTCTGTACATGTTCCTCTACCACTTTGAGTTTGAAGTCCATTTTAGGGTAATTTTAAAAAACAGCAATCGATAAAGTCTCTATGTTTTGGAAAAGCTTCACATATCTGAAAGGCAGCTTGGATGCAGGAATGACTGTGTTTTATATGGGTTTTTTTCTTTCTTTTGAAGCAGAAAGGATAATATGCAAAGAAAACAAATATTACGGGGATCTTAGAACGATCCTCTTAAACTCAGTTCTCCTCTGTAAATGATTGTGGCACTTTTTGTACAATCCCTTGGGAGTAGATCCTGGAAACAAAATCCTTCAGGGGGAGTTCTCTGTTCATTATCTTGATATTGAGATGTGTGAGAGCAGAAACTCTTCCTGTTTAACCTCTTTTAGGTGCAGCATCATTTTTCTGAACTGTCCAAACCACAATGGAAAACTCAAATGTTCTAATAATTGAAAAAAAAAGGATTTATGAGCCATGTAAGAGTAAGCAGAAATAAAGATAATACCCCTATCATAAATCCTAGGGGTAAAACTTAAATTATGTGTGGGCCATCCATTTAGGATGGATCTTTTTGTGCCTGCACAGCTAGGGGAGCATGAAAAAAGGCATTTTTGCCTTTCCATTCAATTTCTTTCTCCTTCTTTCTTTTCCTTGTCCTTTTTCTCAAGTGTAATAATAATAATAATGTCTTGAGTACAGAGAGGAAGGAACAGACAGGAAAACATCTGAAAGAATTTGCTTGTGAAGTCTCAGTGACAGCAGAGCACAGCTATAATGTGTTCAAATGGGGAGGAGCATGACCGTAGACAGGTATTAGAGGGACATCACCAACACACTGGCTGAGAAATTATTTAGAGTTGTCTAAGGGGATAAGTATGAAATCAACAGGATAACAGTCATTACATCACAGTGTCTTTATACGTATTGTGTTGAATTGTTCTGGGTGGAATACTGGGGGAAATTCCACAAAGTCAAATATTTATAAAAAATTAGAAAATTCCCAAGAAGTGGGTTTGGCTTATGTTGTCTGAGTCAGGCAGAGCTAGGCTGAACAAATGTTATAAAAAGTAGCACTGGGACCACTTCTCTCCTGGAAGAGGAGGCAGACTGGATGACCTAATACATTTTCTCATATCATAGCTAGGTCTGTGAAAACAAATCTCACCAAGAGCTAAAGAAGGATTTTTATATCCATTAGGTTTTCTGTCTATGCTTGAAAGTACTTCACTTCATCCCAGGGTTCCTAAAGCTGTTTGTGAATATTTCATAGAGTTCAGAGGGTCTCTCCCACTTCAGTTGTTTCTGTGTGTGGTAAATATGCTTTTAATGGTATTAGGAGCAGAAACCACTTGAGGTCCAGAAAGTCTAAAAGCCATCCTACTGCCACACACAGTGGTGTGTTCCTGCAAATATGTAACTGTAAATGCATCACATTCCTCAGTTTCCTCTACAGTCTCACCTGAATAAAAGTGAATGGCATCACTTGACCCCTACCTTTCAAGCAGATGTCTAAAATGTGATTCCAGATTCACACATCTCCAGAAGTGGTCTAGAAGCTGTGTGAATACTGAATATCTCCAGCTGGTAACAATGGGATTTACCTCTGCATAACAGGTAGTTAAATCCTATGCCAGCATAGACAGCTATAGTCTTTAGCCTTTGACAGTGGTCTCTTCAGGACAGGGCTGATGAAACATCATCTCTCCAGAGACTCTGTCATGTCTGTGCATGCAACAGCTGCTTCCCTAGTGATATTCAGTGTTGATTAGAATAACGTAATGCTGTCTGAGTACCATGCATTAGTTTCTGCAGAGAGCTTCAGGTGGCTTAAGGAGTGCCTCATCCTCTGAGAGAGTGGAGCATACAGCTGGGGTGGGCTGTGCTGGCCCCTGGGTGATGCTGCCTTATTTACAACCAGCAACCACTATGGACAAGGTGTGACTTTTCCAATTTCTGTACTTGCCTGCAAAGGAGCCTATGTGTTACAGGCAGCATCAAGCTGCTGCCTAGAATATTTCTGGAGAAGCACCAGGCAATGACACATGATCTGAAAGGTGTGAGGGTATTGCATTCAGTAGTGAACTGGCTAGTTAGCAGAAAAGTTCATTGTATTTTTTTTAATTATTTCTAAGATGTCAGAATTTATGCTGTTTTTTTAAATTTAAATAAATGAGATACAACTTACATTTCAGCTGATGTTACTTAGTATTGTGTTTAGTTTGTAGGCATAGGAGCATTTAAGTGGAGGCTCCGACCTCAATTGGTCTCAGCTGGCTTGTCCAAACTGGCACATTTATATCGGAGAGAAAGCCCTGAGTGAGGCAGTGCAGATGCCACCCAGACAGACAAACATTTCTGGCTGTGAGTGGATGGGAGGCGATTGGAGCACGGGCTGCGTGTGAGGCAGCATGTGGTATTGTTTGGCTGTTTGTCCTGGGTCTGTTTGGTGCAACTGATGTGCAGGTAAGTGTTGCTCACAAGCTCTGACCTTCACAAATGCTTTTTGAATGAACAGCATAAACCAGAGAGTAAAAATTAGGCTACAGAATCAGAGTTGTTACTGACAGCTGGAAAGTAACACTGCAGCCTCTTTATTTTTCTGCTTTTGCGCTTATTCATTCTGCTTATATGCTGTGATGTTTGCCAAAATATTGCTCCATTGCCTGACACCAATACAGCCAACAGTATGATATGCCTCTGTATTTTCAGACTCAAGTTGTTTGATAGCATCTTCAAGTTTATTAATAAACATTATTGCCCTCTGAGGACAGATAGTAGGGTGCTGACTAGGCATGCAAACCACTTAAAAATAGATAAAACGAAGATCTGAGCTGGAGTCATGTAGAATTCCCCCAGAGGGGGGTAACAGAAATTGTGTTCATTTACCAAAATGAATGTGTCTTCTGAAGAGAGAGGTCTCATTATATCAAAAAGGAATACCCACATCCAAGGGCCTTCAGTGTATCTGCAAGCTGCAAACAATCCACAGCATCAGAAACATTGAGAGGCCATTGACCACTGCACCAGAAATTTTGCCTTTGGCCAAGTACATACTCACAGGAATGATGAGAATATAGCACAGAGTTGGGAGACTGTCCTAATTCCTACTTGTTTGTCAGGCAGCTTGTCTTTATGGGAGAGACTAAATGTCTGTGGGGCTTGTGTTGTCTCGGTGGTAGCGAGGGTTAAAAGACAAAGATGGATTATGAACTGTGATACTGACTCTGTCATTAAAAGGCACTTATGTTTAAATACGTAAGATGTGCCTATGTATATTACTATATAATAATTCATTTTAAAAGGTTATCCATACTATTTGACCTATCATTGAAGAACAATAACTCTTAAAAATCCAGCAATGTGGGATATTGCCCTGAAAAACCATGATAGGTCACCATGTTCTCTCTCTTCCACGTCAACGCTGCAGTTTCTGTATTTGATTCCTATTATTGATTTAGGTTTTTTGGACTCTTAAAGTTTCCTTACTCCAGGGCAATACCAACCCTAATGGACTTTTTCTGCTCAGAGAAGAGACTAGAAACTGCAAGGTGCAGTTACTATCTACAGTTTTATTAGATCAGAGATGTAGATAGTCACCAACACGTCTGTAAAGTGCTGGAGAATCAAATTACAGCAGGTATTCAGGCCACGGGATGCTCACCTACTCTGGATATTATGAAGAAAAATCTCAAGACTGAAACATAATTGAACAGTCATTTTATGAACAGCAAAATGATTGAGGTGGTATCCTTTCCTGCCCTTTCTTGGAACACACTCAATCACATTAGTGGGGGTTTTTTATGCTTGAATGGAATGGTTTTGAGTTATAAAATGTGATTATTCACGCTGGAATAATAATGCAAGGAATCTAAAACTATTTAGTCCTTAAAGCTGATCAGCTTATCACTATCCAACACAAAGGACTCAGAAATCAGATATCTGAACAAGCTGAATGTGTTAAAGCAATGACCAGGGATGCTACAGGAACAGGAGGGTCTTGACTAATCTTCTCAAACATGAGATTTGGGCCTGGTTTTAGTTAAGTATGTCAGGCAGGAAAACCAGCGTTTGTTAATCCTTTGTTTCCCTATTTTCATCTGCTTCTCGTTTCCTAGGAGAGCTGCATTTTCTTCTCCACTCTCTACTTCTACTGCATTCTCCCTCCATCTAATCTTTTACCCCATCTTTGCCCCTCCTGTTCCACTGGCTGCTACTTCTCTTAATAGTGGTTTTGGGGCTCATGCTTTCTCTTGATGGTCCCTCATATGCTACATGTGTTGGTGTTTACACTGCGTTTCCATGAAACATTTGCTTTCTCGGCTTCCCACGTGAGTACGGGAGTGAAGGCGGGAAGGAGCAACGGGAGGGGCGGAGCACCGTGACACAGCACACACACTGCTGGACCCCAAAGTCACTGCTCAGATGGAGTAGGAAGGAAACAGGTCAGTGCTGTGCTCTTGTGACACCAAACAACGTGCATGGTATGGAAGCAACCTATATGAAAACCACTCCCATCTCCCAGTTCCATCACCTTTCCTGCTCCTTGCCTCCAAAGGAAAATGTTTTGTTTTATACTTTCTGAAGGCTGTGGTTAAGGGAGAGAACAACAACAGTTTTATAAGTAATGACTCTAAAATAAAGTACACTTGAATCAAATGAAAGCTATGTAAATATTCCAAATATTATTACAAGAAAATCTAGAATAGATTATTATTTATATATAAAAGAAATCTTGTTAGATCAACATTGCTTTTAATGGTAGAATGAAAATTGAATTAAGAAGCTGGAGGATTCACATTTTCTTTTTTCCTTACCTTCTTTCTATTAGTAGTCTCTGCCCAACCTCATCACTTCTGTTCATGTATTTAACTCAAAGAGCTATGAAGTCTCCATCAGCTGAAAAAAATACAGATGATACTATTCAGCTGCAAGTTCAAATCATCACTATATTACCTAATTTCTCACAGTAGTTATGAATTTTTCAGGTTTAGCAGAGTCACAGATCGGTAAATGTCCTGAACTAGTTCTCAGGAAGTTCCAAAGGAAACAATACACATGATCTGTACAGTAGTAGTTTAAAGCGGGGGGGGGGAAGAGGAAAATAAAAAGTAAAAAGAGAGCAGCCTTGTTTTCTCTATTACCTCACATTGCATCAATCAGACAGCAATTCCTAGAAATACAAAAATATATATAGTATATCTTAAACTGAGTGAGATATAGGTGCTAAAGAGAGGGGAAAAAAACATATGGGTTATTTCCTCAAAAAATATCTTCAGCATTGTTTTCCTGGAGAGCAAAGTAATTTTCTTAAGTGTGTATTATTCTGACTAGTAATCAGAAAATGACTGAACTCTGGACAACAGCCTAATATTTGTTCTGCTTCACATTTTCTGTCTAAGATAACAGGGAACATGACTGGTGTCATTAAAAGCTGTGCTTTCACAAATCACGCAGACCTGTATTTCCTCTCTTAAGACTGAGAATTTAACCCAGCACTTTCAAACACGCATGGGCCAAGCACAAATGCTACCATGTACAGGACAAACACTGTCTTTTCAGCGTGTGAAAAGGGTAAGCAGTTTTTTGAAATTTGGGTAAATCTTAAGAGCACTTCAGACATCCAGAGTTCAATGTGTATCAAATTTTCGCGCCATTTTAAAAATCATACCAATTATCACATCAATATGCAAATTTTGTAAGTCTTTGATTAAGAAAATGGAAGACTAGGATTTTTTGAGATACTGTCTTCTATTGAAAGAATATAATAAATGAGACCAATATTAGGTTTCATCTAATATCTCTTTTGGACATTCATATTTTGGAGTATCTCACTTTTTTTTTAGGGAGGAAGAGAGAAAGATCACAAAAGATGTGTTCAAATGCTCACAGTGAGGTAGCCATATAATTTTTTTACTGGCTCATTAAAACATTGTTCTCTGAAAGTACAGGTGTTGATTAGATCAGGCAAATGTTCTGGTGGTGGGCAGTCTAGCTGAAGAGTCTTTGTCTTTTAACAGCTGGACCTGTTTTCTGACCCAAATTAAAATTAAAAAATTCTGAGGAGGGTCAAACCCCAATGCATTAACCAAGAGTTTGATGGGAGGTGGCAGGTTTTACATTTACAAGTATGCATTACCTGCTGCAATACCAGATAAACTGGCTGTGCTGCATTGTAGGAGTCAACCAGCCAGCAGCCCACAGATTTGATAGCAGAAACCTGCCTTTCACCTCTAGGTTGTAAGTTTGATTTTGACCTATGTTGGTAATGAAAGCTGGTCTCTATAAAAGATGTTGATGCCATCAATTACCAGTAGATAGGATTTCATATCACCAAGAAATAGTTACAGTTATTAATGATTTATCTTTCATCATGATGGATTAGGCAGGGAACCAAATGGCCACCATGTGAAGCAGTAGGGAATTCCATTTATTACTAGGTGTGGATTCCCCCAATCAAAAGGAAAGTATAGCATAAATAGTAGATTTTCTGTCTCCTTCCTCCACAACAATATTTTAAAATAGTTCTTTAGGTGTTGCTTTTTTTATCTCATGTGTTGCAGGTGGTAATTCTGCTGTGTTTCCAGTTCTCAGTATTATGGTTTAGAATTGCAGCTCTTCAGTGGTACATCAAATGTAATAAGAAAGTCTAATATTTTATGTGAATGAAAATATTCTGAAAAAAATCAGAAGCTCAGAATAAAGGCACTCAAGAGTACTAATAGCATCAGGAAAGGTATTACAAGTTACAAGATTGCTAGTCTACTAATTCCACTGCTAGGGCTGTGCCCTGGACATAAATTGCTTGGGGAATAAAACAAGAGCTATGACTATGTTCTGTACATTGAGACTAAATTATCCCTTGGTATAAATTTCATGGAAATGAATGGACTTGCTCTGTTAGTTAATTTATATTACTCTGCTGGCCTTTCCACAACGGGCCGTGTGCCTGGAGAGCCATCTCCTATTACCTCTGTTGCCTTTTCCTTCAGAGATCAGAGAGGTTTGTCCCAGTGTTTAGTCCTCAGCATGGGTGTTATTTTCCAGAGTCTGTGTGTGTTTTTCACTACCATCGCACATTCCCATCACATAGCAGGAATTGCTGATAATTATCCTTTTCATTAATGTGGCTATTAGAGAGAAATTTCTAAACTTGGCAAACTGCTTAGTCTATGTACTTGTGCAGTTTTTTTGTTGACTGCACTGCAGGCCACCAGTCATAGGAAACCCCAGGCTCCTCTCTTAGGAAAGTGTAGCCTGTCAGATAATCAATTAAAATCCATTGAAATATTAACTAATATTAACCAGATTATTTTGCTTATTTCTGTGTTCAGGTGGTGTTTAATACTCCATAGCTCTCTACAGGAGAGACCCTCGGCTGAATTCATGCCCAAAGTTCCTTTCCCCCGTAACACCAGGGTCTGGTAATTCCGACTCCATCGTGTTTTTCCTGTGTCTGCACAGTAAATTGAAGTTGTGTTTATTTACCAGTTTCAGCACTGCTGGTATTGAACTGAACTTGAAAGACTTTTCCACCCCGATGGCCCCAGCGTGAAAGGTGAAATATAAATCTCAAATCTATCACCAGGATTATTATGTTAAGAGGTTGTATGTTTTCATGTTCAGAGCTGAAGCGAAACAAAGATAAGGATTGTTTGCACTTGCATATTTCAACTTAATATATTTTAATTGGCTGCCATAAAATACATCAGGTTGTGTTAAAACAGCCTTTGTGCTCTCTGAAGTCCTGCTGCTCTTCTGGTACAGCAGCTTGTCTTTGCAACGCATTAGAATAGTGCTACCATTTCGGTGTCTGTAGTAACGACCTTTTCAGCAAGACAGCAGCTTAAACCCCCTGATTTAGCGAACGCTTTATGTGTGTGTGTGTGTGTGTGTGTGTGTGTGTGT